TGTGGTCATGATAGTGGCTGGAGGAGGGGGGCCATTAAAGAACTAGAGGAAAGTTGTATGTTTCATCTGTGTTATACTGCATTCTGGCTGGCTTGCAACTACCTTGTGACCCTTCTGTAAGGGTATGTCCAATTGTCCACAGATGGACTTTGGGTCTCCACTCTACACACCCCCTCATTCACTTCGATATGATTTTTTGTTCTGGGTCTTTGATGTCTGATGCCTGATCCTATTGACATTTCATGACCACCCAGGCTGGTGTTCCTCTTCCATGTGGGCTTTGTTGCTTCTCAGCTAGATGGGCGGCCGTTTATCTTCAAGCCTTTAAGACTCCAGATGCTATATCTTTTGATAGCCGGGCATCATCAGCTTTCTTCACCACATTTGCTTATGCACCCTTTTTGTCTTCAGTGATCTTGTCGGGAAGCTGAGTATCATGGAATGCCACGTTATTAGAACAAAGTGCTCTTGCATTGAGGAAGTATTTGAGTAGAGGCCCAATGTCCACCTGCTACCTTCATACTTAATATATATCCATAGATCTATTTGCCTAACGTTATATATAAATATGTTTACATGTGTTCATGCCGGTGTTTAGACCTCCATAAATGCCCATTTGCTTTCTATTTCTTTCCTCTGTTTCCTTTTACTTTCCTCTTGTCCCAGTATCATATACAGCATCCATTCGGGTTTTGATAATTCATCTCAGTTACATTGCCTTTGACCAAGCCTTATCAGGTATCTGATGCCCTCCACACCATCGATTTTAGATCACTTCTTGTTCCTTTGTCCCTTGGTTTGTTAACACCCACTTCCTTTCCCCTGCCTCCCTCTCTCCCATGTCCACCCGGAACCATCGTTGTTTTCTCCTCCAGACTATTTATCCCACCTATGTTATCTAGATAGGTATGCAGAGAAAATAATAAGCACAAAAAAAGACAGAGAAAAACCAAATAACAAAAGGAAACCACAAAAACAACAGAAACCAAAGTTGGAAAAAGAAAAGCCTACAAATAGTTCCAGGTCTGTTTGTTGACCTTTAGGAGTGTTTTCTATTCCCATCTTATGGGGTGCCATGCCCTGGCCCAGAAGTCTATTTTTGTCATTCCAGGGGACTTCATTGCTTTGCTCCACTGGCTGCTCTGTTGCACGCCATTAGCATTTCGCCCAGGTGTGGTGCAGTCAGGTCCGGCACAATTCCCACACTTTGCCTCCAGTGTAGTCCCTCGTAGTGCTTTGGGTCAGTGAAGGATGTCGTGTCTCATGTTGGGGCCGGCCCTATGGTCCTCTCTGCATTGGCTACTCTAAGCATGAATATCGTTCTCTGGCCTCGGTGGACCAGGATGTATTCCACTCTCTCTCCTTCCTTCTTCCTTGGCTTCTGTGTTGTCTGATCAGACATGCTCCTCTCCCTGAGCTGTAGCTTCAGTGCTGTCCTCTGAAGCGAATTATTCTGGGGGGAGGAGGTGGGGTGTCCACATAGTTGGGATTGGGGCCCACCCTGCAGACCTATCTATTGGTTCCCTGCTTCATGCCCATATGTTGCATTCATGTCTTGGAGCAATGGGGACCAGGCCTTTTGGACCAAAGCCATTGCCTTCCTGGGACCTCCAAGGCGGCTTTCAGAATGAGTCATATGCCGCCTCCACTGCTTGGGCCTTCTGAGGGTTGACAGAGTGGCTTGGTTCTGTGGAATTCCACCGTTCTATAGTCAGTGGCGCCCTCAGTTGTCCCTCTGAATCCTCACCTCGATTATCTCGAAGAGCCTGCGACTCCTGCTACTACGGACCTGATTTCCAGCCTGAGCCAGGTTTTTACCTCCATGAGGCTCAAAAGCAGGGAGTGTGCCAGAGGATGCTTTCCAGGCCTGCCCGCAAGGTTCAGCTCCATGCAACCCTCTCAGTTGGCGGGGAGGGGGCGGGGATCTATTCATAAGTATCCAGGGTCCTCATTGTGAATCCCAGTTAAGGCCTGTGAGGATCCTGTGCTTTGGCCTATTGTGGGTCTCTACCGATATACGAAGTCCTTCACCACCTGAGAGGACCTACCAGAGGTCATGAAACCTAGAGGTCAACAGACAGTTTTGATGTGGCTTTGTGAGGCCTACTGGGCTTAGTCAAGTGCCCACTGTTCTGAAATAGACGGCCCCCCTCATTTCTCATTTCAGGATCCTCATCTTGAAAGCAAATAAATTCTGGAACTCTACCCTTGGCTGACCAGAAACTGATGACCTCATGCTAAAGTATTCGAATTCCTGAAATGTGCAAAGGGACTGAGTCTTTTGAGAGGGAAGCCAGGTGTCATGGCATCTGGCTTGACTTACCTGGCCTCTCTCAGATCTGACAGTGTGTGCCTGGGCCTGTAGGCACCCATGTTCTAGGGAAGAATTCCCCCACAGTCCTCACTCAGCTTCCACTCATTGATTTTGAGCAAGCTTGTATGTCTGCTTAGACCATAGTTTCCCAAATCTATTTGACTTGCCACTTCTTTTTCAGGGAAAAACAAAATAAAATACTTCATTGCCCCATCCAAGCAATTAAAAATGTTTGCACTATAGCCCATAAGACAGGATCAATCGTAGGTACCTGCTCTTGCAGCCCACAACTCTGGATTGACTAGCACCCCCAGGGGGTTCTATCACCTATTTTGAAAGACACTGGCTCAGCTTTAGTTTTGGATCTCTGAGATTGCTTAAAACAAGTGAAAGGTTGCTCATCTAACAGCACTCCCTAGAACCACCTAGTTCTCTAGGATCCCTACATCCTTGGTGCTGCCATGTATTCACTCATTAATGCCCTCTTCTTGGCTCCCTATCTTTAATGAAAGGCTTCCTATGAAATGTCACATCCCTGCCACTCATGAGCAGTTTCTTTTCGCCCTACCTTGCAAAGAGCATGTCCTTTTCCTAGAGGAATGCAGTACAAGACAGGACAAGTGGGCCCTCAGAGAAAGCACACCTCCTTCTCCTCAAAACCAGATTTAGTCTTTATGCAACCATGTTTGAAGATATTTACTTTCTATAAGCAGGGGCTCCCCAGCATCATTTTATGACTCTTAAGTTTATCTGACATTCCATATGTAGACAACAATCCTGCCACCCATATTAACTTTCCCGGTGCCTCTATGGTATAAACATGGGGTTAGTAGCTGCAAGCTCTGTGGTTCAAGCCCAGCTGACACTCCACAGGAGAAAGATGAGATTGCCTAGTTTCTGTAATGATTCAGTCTCAGATGCCCTAAGGGGCTTTCTACTGTCATAGATTTCTTATGAATCAAAATGACCCAATGGCAAAGGTTTGGGATTCTTATTTTTTCTGATGCCTACTTCTATTTTCATATTCTTCTAATTCAGCAGACTCCTATGTCCAATAAGACACATTTTTTTTTTTTGGTGATGAGAGGTGTGGGGGTCTCGTCCAACGAGACCTTCACGTAGTGACCCGAAAGGGCGACGAACCTGGATGGAGAAAAGGCACGGAGACATGGAGCAAGACAAATGCTGATCAAGCTCGTTTATTTGGGCAAAGCTCTGGGTATATATTTGCAGTAAAGAGGGACTGGGAGGTGAATATGTTAATAAGGTGTGCTGTACAACATCCAATCCAACATGTATATTATAATGAAGCATAAGAATGTTAACCAATCAGCTGCAGGTTAAAAGGGTGCGCGCTAGTTCCCAAAGACGTCCGCATGCAAATCAAGATTCATCAGGCATATTGCTAAGTCCATCATATTCCTAGTATGGTATATCTGTAGTCCAATGAGTGCTTGGTATTTTTAACCAATGGGTGAAGGATAACCAACCAATCCCGTTAAAGGTCACGTAGCTGCACAACAGTTACAGCTGCACAATAGTCAAAGAACATTTCCGGGGGTAACACAAACCGCAAGCTATCTCAGACAGTTTCATAGAACAAGGAAGCTTTGGTGACTCAGATATCTTTTAAAGGCATAACCACCTGCCAGTTATTTTCCACTAGGGCTGGTCATTGTTTGAAGGACCTTGAGAATGTCCGCTAGGGCTGGCTCCCAACAGAGAGGAAAATAGTTTAAGAGGCACCTGGCCTGCCTCTGGCTTAAAATACTGGAAAAGTGTGTTCCAGACAGATTCTGACAAGGAGTCCAGTCCAGCAATGCTACTTACCAAGCTAGTGAACTTGAACATGTGACTGATCAACCCACCTTGTTGGATTGTGGGAATGTATGTACTGTAATAGAAAGCATTTTGCAACTGATGGGGAAATATAGTGTTTAATGAATGGCAGTGAGCATGTGATTATTTTGAACTCAGAAAAGACAACCATTTCATCACAATTTTAAAATGTCTTTATTTTTAAACGAGTAGATTTCAGAGACTAGGCAGTGTTCAACTAAAACACAAAACAACTCCTAAATAATGTAATCAAATCCAGTTGTGTGTGTGCATATAACTTTTAATTTTACAAACAAGTAAGTATAAATAGGATAAGGCACCCCACGTACACCTATAGTTATCTTTTTCTTTTCTTTTTTTCATTTGAGATCCTAACTACCTTAATCTGGGGTTATCTCAATGCCATGCTACCTACTTTGAAAACATACAGGAAAAGTTGAAGTTTTTTTCAAGTCGTTTTAGATGGCAATGCTCTAATGTCTGCTAAAGCAAAAAACGCATGATGACCATGAAGGACATTCATGAAGCAAAATAAAACTTAGATCAAAAGGCACAACATTTGAGAGAGAACAAACTACAAGTTACTAGTACACAACAGAAGATAATATATTTTGTTTCCTCTAAGTTACTTCGGAATGTACTACTTGGAAGGTTGACAGTCCTGTCAACTACTGTGAAGAATCTGCTCCCACTTCACTAGATTCTGGTGAAGCCACTAGACTTGGGCCTGAACTCTCAGTGGTTTTAGCTGTAGAACGGACCCTAGATGCAACTCAGTGTCGGGCTCTCTTTTGCTCACCCCTCAAAGCCTCATCATAGGGAGCAGAGAAATACCAGGGACTCACACCTGTCAGCATGGCCAATAGCTCCAGAAATTTCATCTTGGTGGTTTCAGCACGTGCCCTTGGAACCCACAGGAATTCATAGCATGAAGGATGACTGTTGCGTGCCTGCCGGTGCTGCACGTACCTTGCCAGCACAAAATCACACAACGTGAGCTTTCTGGGCTCTCCAAAAATATCTTGCATCCTCCCAGCATAGATTCCCAGCATATTCAGGAACTTCCAAATGGTTTCTTCAGAGGCTGGGTTACCATTCACGAAGATCACACCCAACAGGAGAGCTCTTGGGGGTGTCCCCCTAAATAGGGGAGGAAGAAGAAGATCCTTCCTCCTCCACTGCAGTGGCCTGAGCACCCTGGACAGCCTGGCTTTTCCCTGAGGCCTGTTTGCATTTCTCACGGACACGGTGCTTACTTTTCTGACCACAAGGCATGGTGACTCTCTTTAGATCCCTGTGCAAGAAGTGAGAGTGAGATTCCATAAACCAAATTCACAATCACCAAGTCGATTCTGACTCATAGTGACCCTATAAGGCAGGGTAAAGCTGCCCTTGTGGGTTTCTGAGACTGTAAATATCGAAGAGAAGAAAAAGCCTCCATTTTCTCCCAAGGAGACACTGGTGGTTTTGAACCGCTCACATTGTGGTTAGCAGCCCAAGATGTAAGTCACTATCCCACCAGCCTTAGGACATAGCCAACAGGGTCATCATGTCCACTGTTAGCGGGACCTGGGTCCCCTTTGCTTTGCTACTCTGATGTTTTGTTTGTTCGACAGGAACTTGTTTGTCAATAAAGACAAAGTCCATTTCAGTTTCACTTTTTCCCTTTATTTTTATTTTGTTTTTAGTGTCTCAGACCACCAGGAATTTTTTTGTAAAGGAATGCACTATATATATTTACACAGCCCTTATCAAGAAACGAAATCACCAAAGGCATCTTGTTAAACCTCCCATATAGGCGATTCTCTTTTTCTACCCACCCCCTCCTCCCTCCTTCCTCAATATGCTATCCTGCCCCACTCCCTATTCTGGTCCCTGGCCCTGGCCCTCCCTGGAATCCAGATGGGAGGGAAGGGGAGCAACAGACAGGCAGGCACAGGATGTGCTGAGAGTACAGGTTGAGGTCCTGTGGCGAATGGACCGGCAGGCCTCACTCAAGCCCTTCACTTTGACTGACAGAGGCGCTAAGTTTCAGCCCTCCCTGGCCTGTGACCACTCCCTCTATGCAAAACCCTGGGATCCCCAAGAAGAAACTGGATGAGGTGGCAGATTCCTGCAGCTGTCATCTTACTTACTCTGATTCCTGGGGTGACCTGGAAATCTGCCTTCTGCTGACTGAAGACCAATTCTTTGTAATTAAGACAGAGGCTCCCAACTCTGGAGATTCCTGAGGACAAAGTAAGGCTACATGTCAGACTTGGACCCACCCGGCATCTTCAGGGGTGCTTGGTGGGGGAGAGGCTGAGACTTCCAGAGTACATGGTGATGGAGTCTTCTCAGACATCTCCTAGACTCCATATCACGATAAACAAATAACAACAATGAAAACCTCGCCGTTGAATTGATTGCGACTCATAGCCACCGTATAGGCAGAGTAAAACTGTCCCTTTGGGTTGGTTTCCAAGGCTGTGAGTCATTCTGGGAGCAGAAAGCCTCATTTTCTTCCCACAGAGCAGCTGGTGTGTTCGAACCGCTGACCTTGTAGTCAGCAGCTCAATGCATGCTCCACTATACCATCAGGGCTCTCTAAACACTAGGGAAGTGTCTGCAATTTAATAAATCAGCCCATGAATATTAGTTCTTCTTTGTGAAATAGCTAACAAAAACCAAACCTGTCCCCATCGAGTCAGTTCTGGTTCTCCGTAAATTCTAGTTTTAAAAGAAACAAACTCCCCGCCATGGAGCGAATCCCTGCACACAGAAGCTTAGAGGACAGAGTAGAACCACCCTGTGTGCCTCCTAGCCTTTCAGTCTTCCCAGGAGCAGCCACTGTGTCTTTCTCCGGCAGCCTGGGAACCAAACCGGGGACTCCCACATAGAAAGCGAGAGCTCAGCCATGGAGCCACAACTGCCCTTCATGCACGTCCACTCACCCAACCTAACTCACTGCCACTGCAGCAATTCCGACTCATAGCGACCTTATGGAAGGCAGTAAACACCCCTGTGAGTTTCTGAGATTGTAGTTCTTTACAGGAGTAGAAAGCCCCACCTTTCTCCCATGGAGAGTTCGGTGGTTTCAAACAGTTGACCTTCACCTTAGCAACCTTGACCAACGTATTTCTCTTTCTCTTGCACTTGATAATATTTATAAGATTGCAATTAAACATTTTCAAAGAGCTGGATTTCATTAGTTTGTTCTCCTCTCTCCTATTTCATCATGTCTGCCCCTATCTTTCAGATGTCATAGTGTCTCCTAGGGATAAACATTGGGTTTCTAAATGATAACTCAGTGTTTCAACCCTGCCCCACCCACCACTTGCTGCTCTGCTAAAGAAAGGTCTGGCTGTCTGCTTCTGTGCAGATTTACAGTCTCAGAAACCCTTTGTAGAGTTGCTCTGAGTTGGAATTAGCTTGATGATAGTGGGGTTGGCTTTGGATTTTGCCTCTCTATTAATTCTTGCCTCGTAATTCATAATGTTTTACATAGTACATTTACCAACATCTTGAAATAAAGTTTATTGTAGACATTCTTTTCTACTGAATATACTTAAGCTGTGAGTATTCCTTTGAGTAGTACTTGGGCTGTTTTCTACAGGTAGTGCTATAGAGATTTATTTTGTTGTTCTTATTAGGCACCATCAAGCTGGTTCCAACCCAGAATGACCCTATGTTGTTGTTAGATGCCACCGAGTCAGCTCCAACCCATAGTGACTTTACGCACCACTGCCTAGTCCTGTGCCATCCTCACACGTGTCCCTGTGCTTGAGCCTATTGTTGCAGCCACCGTGCTATTGAAGGCATCCCTCTCTGGGGTGCCTTCCTCTTTCTCAAGGTCCTGCTACATTACCAAGTATAATGTCCTTCTCCAGGAGGGACTGGTCTCTCCTGACAACATGTCCAAAATACGTAAGATGAAGTCTTGCCATCCTCGCCTCTAAGGAGCACTCTGGCCTTGCTTCTTCTGGGACACACTAGTGTGTCCTTTTGGCAATCCATAGCACTTTTAATATTCCTTGCCAGCACCATAATTCAAGTGAATTGATTCTTCTTTGGCCTTCCTTATTCAATGTCCAGTTTTCGCCTGTATATGAGGCAACTGAAAATACCATGGCGTGGGTCAGGTATACTTTAGTCCTCAAAGTAACATCTGTGCTTTCAACACTCTAAAGAGGTCTTGTGGTGCAGATTTATCCACTGCAATGAATCTTTTGATCTGTCTACTGTAATGCCATGAGCACTGATTGTGGATCTAAGAAAGATGAAATCCTTAACAACTTTAATCTTTGCTCTATTGATCATGATGCTACCTATTGGCCCAGTTGTGAGGATATTGATCTTCCTTACATTGAGTTATAATCCATACAGAATCCTTGACCTTCATCAGCAAGTGCTTCAAGTCCTCTGCACTTACAGTAAGCAAGGTTGCGTCTTCTGCACATGGCAGGTTGTTAATAAGCCTTCTTGCAATCCAGATGCCTCATTCTGCTTTATATAATTCAGCTTCTCTAATGATTTGCTCAGCCTACAGATGGAACAAGTATGATGACATAATACATCCCCGATGCACAGGTTTTTTCTGACTTTGAACCATGCCATACGCCCTTGGTTTGTGTGAGCAACTGCTTCTTGATCCATGTACAAGTCCCACATGAGCCCAGTGAAGTGGTCTGGAACCCCCATTCTTCTCAAGGTTATCCATAGTTTGTTATTATCCACACAGTTGACAGCCTTGACATAGTCAATAAAACATAAGTGAATCTCTTTCTCGTATTCTTTGCCCTCAGCCAAGAATCATCTGACATCATCAGTGATATCCTTCATGCCGGGGTATTTTCTGAATTCAGCTTCCATTTCTGACAGCTCCTTGTTGATGTACTGCTCCAAAAGGTTTAAAGATTACATTCAGCAAAATTGTACGTGCTTGTGATAGTAATGAAAACAATGGATAGTTTCTGCATTCTGTTTGGTCACCTTGCTTTAGGATGGACAGAAATATGGATCTCTTCCTGTTGGTTGGCTGGGTAACTGTCTTCCAAATTTTGGGCATAGATAAGTGAGTTATTCCAGTGCCTCATCAACATGTTGAAACATTCCAGTTGCTTTTTCATCAAATCCTGGAGTCTTGTCTTTTTGGCTAACGGTTTCAGTACCACTTGGGCTTCTTTCTTCAGTACCACTAGCTCTTGCTCATATGCTACCTCCTGAAGTGGTTGAATGTGGACCAGTTCTTTTTGGTACGGTGGTTCTGTGTATTATTTCCATCCTCTTTTGATGCATTGTACATCATTCAGTATTTCCCCCATGGAATCCTTCAACATTGCAACTCAAGGTTTGAAATGTTCACGAATTGAATATATGTCTCTGTTAAAACTGAACTAAGTGCACTAGCATCTAGTCAATACTAATTCATAGTGAGCCCCCCGCCCCCTGTGGTTTTTGAGATTGTAACTGTTTATGGGATTAGAAAGCCCAGTCTTTCTCCTGCGGAGCTGTGGCTGGCTTCAAGCTGCTGGTCATGTGAATTGCAGCCCAATATATAACCAGTATACCATCAGGGCTCCTTATGTCTCTGTTATTCTCCTACAATTACATATATGCATATAGCTATATGATAAGGCTTCATAAAGTTTGTGCAAAAATGGAATTGAAATAGAAAACTGTCATGTGTTTGTGTGTGCGTACATACACACATACATAAAGAGAGAGAGAAACCTAAAAGCGCTAGTGAGCATAAAACCATATTTGCGGAGGGGTACAGAGAGTTATTTGAGGATTTTAGAATGCCAGGGTGCTTTGCTTTGTTATATTTTCTTCATTTATGTTAGATGGGACATGAACACTCAACTTCTAGGGAGAGTTGAGTGTTTTCTAGGAATTTGATGAACATTTCACCTGAGAAAATCAATTTCACTGGTGGACCATAACAATTAGGCATCATAGAAGTCGAAACAACTTTTATATGTAATACAAATCATTAAAAGCAGGTGATCAGGTGTTCGAGTGATGGAAAAGCCAATCAGGACAGAGCCAGGCAAAACTGCACTTAGCAATTTGAGATGTCACTTCCACCTGTAAGCTAGAGGAACAAAAAGAGGGGTCAGAATTACTGGACTCTAGAGATGGAATCCAAAGAATCTTCAAACGTAGTCTGATGACTCTACACCCATGGAGAAAGTGCGGCATTTTATGGTGAAACCACCTGATACAGAGAAAGAGAGAGATCTCTGTGTATTTAAAGGAGGGATCTCCACCATCTACAGGGCATTTGGGGCCCC